CTCCTCCTACTCCTCCTCCTCCTCCTCCAGCGCCATCCTCCTCCCCCCCTCCTCCTCCTCATCCTCCTCCTCCTGCTGCTGCTGCTCCTATTGATGCTGCTGCTGCTGCTACTGCTGGTCATTCTCGTGCTGGTCATCCTCCTTACCTCCTCCTCCTGCTACTACTACTGCTGCTGCTGGTCATCCCCCCCCTCCTCTTCCTGCTGCTGCTGCTGCTGCTCCTATCGATGCTGCTGCTGCTGCTGCTGCTGCTGCTCCTATTGGTGCTGCTGGTACTGCTGTCCAGCTACTGCTGGGCAGGGGCTCGGGGAAGTTGACGCAGGTGAGAACGGGGGGCGGGGTGGGCGAGAGGGGGGGGAGCGCGAGGGGGAAGAGGAGAGGGTGATGCGTTCCTTCCTTTTTGGAGTCATGCGCGCGAGGGCAGTCCAGAATGCCAGATTGGATGTTTCATGCTATGTTCGTTCCAAAGTCCTTCACCCCCCCCCGCCCCTGGGTTCGCTCTTTTTTTCAGCGAGAGCTGTTGGGTCTTAGTCGCTAGTCGCTGTCTTAGTCTTGCGCCTCTGGGGCGCCGGGAGCGGGGGCGTGCCCCCATGATTCCACGTGCTTGCTGTTTGAGGGTCGTTGTTCCTGCGTCCAGGTCTCTTTGGAGGAAGCCCCAAACAATAGGGTGGATGGGGGTGGGTCGGAGGACGGAGGGCGGGGGGGGGGGCGGCGGAGGGCGGGGGGGGGCGAAGGGGGGCCGAGGGGGGTGGAGCAGGAGGAGGAGGACCATGCAGACGCCATTGTCCTCGTCGGCGTCGGTCCTCCTTGTGGCCACTGAGGTTCAAGACCCAGCCTGTCCTTTGATTCAAGATATGTTCCGCGGCGCCCGCAGAACCTTCTTTCCAGAAGTTGTTGTTGTTGTCAGCCTCTGTTGCATGCTGAACACCCCGCGGTCCGTGAGCGGCGCGCCGTCGGCTGCTGGCGGCGCGCGCAGCATTGGGCGCTCTGCAGTTTCGCGGGGCGCTCCGAGGTCCAGCGCAGGCGGAAGGGGGCGCAGCGGAGGCGGACGTGGTCGGGGAGCAGACGGCGGCGGCGGAAGGGGGCGCAGCGGTGGCGGAGGGAGGCAGCGGCAACGCAGCCGTGGGAGGGGCGGCCAGGCGTCCGAGGACCACGACTGTGGCAGGGTGTCGCGGCGCAAGGGCCGAACTGTTCTGGCCGTGCAGTGCGGGTTGTGCGGCAGCGTTCCGTCGGAGGAGGGAGTGGGAACGTGAATTCCTTGACATTCTCCTAGTGGGTAGTAGGTCCTAGTTCGCATGTGGTCATGTAGGTCCTAGTTCCTAGTAGGTCCTAGTTCGCCATTTTCCTGGCAGATCCTAGTGGGGCATTATCCTAGGTCCTAGTAGGTCCTTGAACCATGTGTCCTCATACCAATGTGGTTGGTGGTCCCTTCACTATTATTCAGATTCCTATCGGGAGATGCGTGCAGTGACCTACCGTGCTATAGTTTGCCCGTGGCCTGTTGAGACGGCATCATTGGCTGTCCTTTTTTTGGGTGGGCGCCTCCAGGTTGCAGTTGTCCGCTGGTAATATCAATTTTGATGAAATCATTTCTTTGGGTAGTGGGTGCAAGTTGGCATGTGTTCAATGTTGGGTTGTGTCAGCCCTCCTCTCTGAGGATGTGGAGTGGGCCAGGTGCGAGTACGAGCCGCAGGACGACGGCGGCACCAATAAGAACCCTGTCGACGACGTCT